ACTCTCTTTCGCTCTGTTTCATTAACTGCTCGAATTATTCAGTCAGGAATCAATTTTAATTCCTACCTTTACACACAACAATAGAAAAATAAAACAAACTCATTTTTCGCCTGCTAAAACTTCTTGAGTCATAGCTATTGTTGATACAACAGGAAGAAACAGCGTACAAAAGAAAAATTTTCTATAATTTATCATTACATATGCATGAAAGCATGTTCAGAACGTCAGTTCTTTCAAACGTCATAAATGTATTTGACGTCATGAAAAGTATCTTCTTGAAAAGAACAATCTATAAAAATTTTCGTACGCGTCACAGAAGAAACGTTTAAGTTATAGATGTGTAGGGCACACTTATTCTACCCTGCAGTATGGAGTAGGATCAGGGTTTTGTTGATTATATAGCGTCGAAAAGGTAAGATCAATGATATTATATTGCTAAGAAATTTTAAAAAATAGTGACGTTTCATCGATGTAAAATAAAAAATTTATTGCCAATGAAAATTCTCAAAATTTTTAAAGGATAGGACACGATCAGGACTCTAAAAACATCTAAAGTTCTAAGGAGGATCAGAACTTTGGTGTCACAGGATACGATCAGGGCTGAAAAAATAGCTACCTGTACATCTGTATTTCATGTTAGAAAAAAAGTAATTATTTTGAGAGAAATAAATAATTCTGCTTTTCTCTTCTAATGAATTTGATAAAAGATTTTATCTACGTATGTTCCTACTATTTAATTCGAAATAAAATCTATCTTTTTAATTCAATTACACTCAGTTCACAAAGAAATTTATGACATATACGACAGGATCAAATGATATGCACTTATTTTGGCTTGCACAACCTGGTTTAATGTATCAAAAGCTTTATGTCGAGATCAACATTCACCCCGCGAGAATAACCTACTTTTAAATTAACTTTTCTGGTTCATTTGGGTCGTGAGCGCTAATAAATCTCGATTGTCATAGAGTCATTGCGCCGTTCTCTTATTCACTCCCCTGGTAAATCTCATTTACTATTGTGTTTCAACTCAGTGGATTTAGAGAAGTTCTAAGATGAAAGTAAAAATGGTTTTCTGATTCTTTGGAGAAAACAAAATTTAGATAAAAAATATCAACAATTTCCTAAACCTATTTTAACACAAAAGTTTTGAATGGATTTTAGAAAATTTTTTTTCAGTCGAGTGAGTTTGAGAAGACAGATCTGATACGCCTGATTCTAATCTAATTGACAATTATTTTTATTGAAACTTTTTACAGAAATTTGAACTTACATGTTGTGATGAAGAAAACGTTCCTTTTTAATATTCTGAAAGTATTGTTGCTGAAAAATAACGAGACATGGAAAGAACTAAAAATAAATTGTAATGGAAAGTAAAACAGTTAACATTGTCAATAGAACATATTTTTCAACGAATTGAGTCTGGAACAGACGTTTATACATTTTCTGAAAAATGGATTTCAGTACGTTTTTTTTATTCCGTCTTTAAACGCTTTTTGAGACTTAATGGGTGACACAGAAGACATGATCCTATTCGTATTTTTTTGCATAATTTTCTTATTTCTCACCATAGTGGGTCAACTTTCTTGTCCTATTTCTTGCAAGATTCTTGTCTTTTGGTAAATCAGATAAGACGTTTTTCTCATTTTTTTCATTGATTTTTCATTTTTTTTCAAAAAATATTCTTGACTGAAATGACAAGATGTAACAACGATGTAATCACTACTTTGTTGTATGCTATATGTAAACTACATTATCAATTAAAAATTTTTCAATAAAAAATATTTTGTTATTCGAACAAGGTTGTTGTCGAGAGATGATTGAATCAATATGTTAACGTATGTCTATGTTGGCATTCATAGAACCATGCTGCATATATAAAGAAAAACAAAATTGAAAATGAATTATAGATGAATTCTTTGTACATAAGATTCCGGCGAGATGCTTGAGATAAAAATACATGTAAATTATTTAACAAGATTCTTGGTTGAAATGCCACGAGATCAGAATCTTGCAAGAAATGGAACAAAAAAGTCGACCAATTCATGTAGACTTACTTTAAAAATTCGCCACTTTATTCGCTACAAAAAAACATAGAGAATATTTTTCTATATATTGTAAAAATAAAAAATATAGTGAAAATACCGTAAAGCTTCAATCTTGACAATTTTCTAACTCAAAATATAACGAAAAAAATTTATTTTGAACACGATGTCATGATTCAGATTCGAATCTGAATGTATGTCCTAATGCTTAGAAATATGATCTTTCTTTTCGTGTATCATAGATTAGCTTTGAACGTATATTATGGTGCAATATCCAATTTTATCAGAATTTATCAGAAATAGAACAAATTTGACTTTTTTGCCTTAGCACAACAGAAGAAACAGAGTTATCGAACGTTCTCTGTTCGGATGTAACAGAAGAATTATTTTCCTTTTAGATAGAACAAATTTGATCTGAAAATGTTTGATTTAGGACGAGTTATAAAAAGTTTCCTAACTGCCCTGAAACTGCAGTTTGAAAACGATGATTTTTGACAAAATCGATAAAAGAAAAACCACTCAGTCTCAATAGCTTATGATTATGAAGAGTTTTGAATATCATCAGTTAATAGAGATTTTCAAGGGTCACTAAATGTTTGCCTTCTCTTTTCGTATATCGAAAGTACGAAGAGCTAAAATTGAAAAACCTGTGTTTGGGATATAAAAATTGTGGGGATTAAAGCTTTACAGTATTTCCGTTATATTTTTTTATTTTTACAGTATATAGAAAAATGTTCCCCATATTTTTTGTAAAGAATGAAGTGACGAATTTTTTAAACAAAAGTTTAAGTCTTCATGACCAAAACTACGAAGAGAATCATTTATTCTATTTCCCCTGTTATAATCGAAATATGACACAATGGATAAAATGAAGGAACTTGTCATCATTGGAGAATGAACTAACGAGGACTTTTAGAATTATAAGAATAATTGAGAAAACTCAGAAGAAATGTTACTCCTAGTGCAATAGTCTCTAAGAATAAGGTCATTTTATTTGAATAGTGTTATTGTTTTGAGGTTCGACAGAAATTGATTTGAGCTACTATCCGTTTCAAAACAGACGGCACACTACCCGTTTTTTGAATAACTTTTGATAGGAATGGGATACAGACCTGCATATTTCAGTATTTGATAGAGGACACTTAGGGCTATAATCCTATGAAAAAAAAACAGTCTTCTGAAAGGTTTACCACAGTATACCTTTCGAAGCAAAATGTCCGAGCCTACCATTTCAAAAATCTACATAGCAAAGTACTACTCTCAACACATGTGGATATACAACAGATGTCACTCTACAACCTACAGTAAGCCCCAAGTCTCCATCTACCGTGGTTCTGGCGCTACAGGCTATCTTCGAAAACCTACCTATCGGCTAAATCTAAAGTCCGGAAACCTTAAAAACACATGAAACATAGGTTTTCGAATACGGAAAATCTTTTAGCAGTGTTTGTTCCATTGTCAGGAGTAAACATACGTCAAAGGACGAATTTTTCAGAAAATTTGGTTTTTCTGCTATGACCGTACTAAAGTAAAAACCTTCTAGCATTATCATTTCTCCACCAAAGTGCATGAAAGGGGAAGAGTAAGCGTAAGAGCAGGTGTTCTATCTGATCTCACTACCAGAACTATAAAAATAAAGCGGATCTTCGATAGATTTTTCAGAAAACCTCTGATGATCTTTAGGTGAAATCTTAGTATGAAACCATAATTCTAACATTTCTAAACTGTACAATAAGCGAAACTGAGTAAATTTTGAAAAGTTGAAGCACTTTGGTTGAGAAATGATGGTGCTAGAAGATTTTACTTTAGTACGGTCATAGCGGAAAAACCACAACTTCTTTGTGCTATTTCAAAACGAAAAATACATATTTCTTTATAGCGTGATGATTGTGTGCAAAAGAAAAACATTTAGCACATTTTTTAAGATGAATGAATATGCAACATTTCGTATTTTTATTGTACATTATATACATCAGACCATCCGAGAAACAAAAACTCAAAATAATGTTTAAAACAATCTCTGAAGCCATTATGAATGGTTATTTATTTTAATAAATTGGTAAACAATAAAAATGAATGCCATTTACAAATACTAAAATATTTCTTTCCCTTTTTTTGTTTTTTCTAAAGAAAAATAGTGAGTAATTAAATTTGATCGTTATTTTTTCTTATGCTCATTAAATTAAAAGTTATTAAGAACAACAATACGATGAACATACTTAATAATTAACTTTTAAGAAAAAGAAATAGGCGCCAGAATGAAAGAGAAAACGAAAACAATACAAATATTATCAATTTACAGAAGAAATTTATTCCTGAGTATTTGTTAACAATAACATCAACGAAGAGAAGAAAATAAAAATTCACCGGGAATTTTCTATATACAAAATTCTTAAATATATAAAATATATTCAACATTACAAAAAAAACAAACAAAAAATTTGGTCAACAATAAAAGATTTATTTTTCAATATTTTTAACGGAAAAAAGTTACAAAAGACAAAAGATCAATTGTTAAAAATTGAGATCATTATTATAGCCTCTTAAATTTGAAATAATGTGTGATACAGTTGAATTGTTAGAGATTGAAATTATCTTAGTTGTTTTTTTAAACGAAAATCTTATAAAAATATTTTCATGAAAGAATCTGGTTTTGTTTTTCTACTTTTACATTCGAGTTCTACATTTTTAGCACTTTTTTTTTTATATCTGACAGATAATTCGTATATCGATGTGGGAAATTTTTGACAGTCAAAATAGACGTTTAGACTATTGATTCGAAAATATGTCCAATATTCAGTCTTAATTTCTTCCGAAATACTGTAAACTTTAGGTTCGCCAATATGTTTGACTTTTGACATTTCAACGACTATTACAAAGAAGTGAATCAATCTATATAAACTATTCAATTGACTGATTGAATGACTTCTTCTTATTTCATGTTTTTTGTTCTATTTAAGACATTTCTTGAATATTATCTAACTTTGCAGAAATATAAATATGATTGTTGTTCTTTTTGTTTCGTTGAGGTACTAAAAAGAAAAAATAATAAAAAATAAACTATTGAAACAACTTTTAAAATTATAATAGAGATGATTTTTACTTACGTCTAACTTTTTGGAGTACACAAACAGTGATAATAGTAGATAAAATTCCAAAAAAAAATGAACCTAAACCAATGACTAACAACAACATTTTCATATGATCAACTGTCCATGAATTAAAACGACAGTTTGAATTTACTAGAGAAATGACAAGAAAATATTTTTGTTTTTACAATATGTCAAATGTTAGATCATTCAATTTATATACCAGTTAATGTTGAATTTAAAACTATAGAAGAAGTATTGCTTGATATCAATGTTAAATAATCAGTACTAGTTGATAAAGTTCTGATAATAGAAATTGGTGTACGACCGGTTAAACAATCTCGATTACACAGAACTTTTTCAATATCTCCTGGTCTATCAAAAAAATTTGTTTGATCAAAATCAGAATAAAATTGTTCTTCTGTACATTGTTGATATTGTCGACAAGACTAAAATAAAATGAATAAAAATATGATAAAGATAAATAATATTCTTTTTTTTTAAAAATAAACTCACTTCATCACATTTTCGTATAATAAACTCAATAAATTGTAATTGAACATCATCTAATGTAAATGAAAATGTATTGCTTTGTCTATTTTTATTAGATATTATAGTCATACGAGGATTAATACATCTGAATAAAAATCGTTCAATTGATAAATATTTTTATAAAATATAAAATATATTAAATACATACGTTTTAGTAACTAAATAATCGAGGGAATGTTTAATAGCAGCACTCATACGTTTTATCCATAGCACTTCAAATGATTCATTGACAGCTAAAATAAAATTTAAATTTGTTATTATAGTAACAGTTATATTTATAAACATAAGATTACCTAGTCGATCAGTGGTCAATGTAAATGTATATAGTGGTTGATAAAAACGTTGTGATGTTTGAATTACAGTTACAGTTGGTAAAATTAATGTTCGCTAAAGAATGATAAGAAAAAAAATAGATATTAACAATAGACAATAATATCAATGTCATACATTTATTTTGCAATAAACACATGCTCGTTCTCCATACGTCGGATTATCCTAAAAAGAAGAATTTATACATTGAAATGTTTATCTCAAACATTTTAAAATTTTGTTTGTACCTTTATTCGACTAACTAACATGGCCGATAAATAAGTGTTATTTATTTTTTTAATGCTACATCGGTTAACATTAGCATTTAACATATATTTATCGTGATACAATACCGGTGATTTTTGACATAGATTATCATTACTATCCCATTGAATTACACGATCCTGTAAAAAAGCAATAAAAATAAAATCGTTTTAATGATTGAAAAAAACAATAAAAAAACAAAAAATATAAACGAGAAAAAAATCTTACCGAATTTTCACTATAGAGAAATGTTAAATGTGTGTCATTACAAATAGTTTCAATTGTTGAACCTGATGACATTATTTCAATTGGTAAACATGCATTATTTATTGCATTTGAAATAGTCACTATAAAAAATAATTTTATATAAAATATTTTACATACAATTACAAAATTTGATAAAAATTTTAAATGTAAATATAACATACCAAAAGGTTTCATTGTTAATATAAGAGTACACACAAATTGGATAATAATTAAAAATTTTCGCATGAAAAAAATTCTCCACAGTTTCTGATAATCATGTGGTAAATAACTAAAATGAGATGAGAGTATAAAATACAAATTTTATTCATTAGATCTATATTAGTAAGAAAACAATAAAATATAATTCATTATATATCTTTAATGTGTATTAAAACATGTTAGATGACTAATCTTCTTGTCGTTTACTTTTAGTAGGATTAGGAATATGATCAACAATTATATTCAATACTAGTAACAGCACATAATTTCAACTAAGATATCCAATATTCAATAACGGTACATTAATCGTCTACTTTCTTTCTTTTCCTTTTTCTTGTTTTTTTTTTTTTGTTTTTAATTACATTGTAGAAAAAGAAGCAAAATACTAAACGGCAATAGACAAACTTAACGAAGATCACAATACAAACAAAATGAATATAATTGTGAATGATCAATAATTTATTACACAATACACTAGACCTCGCTATATATAACTTTATCCACTTCCTTTCTTTCTTTCTTTTTTTTCTCCCTTACGTCATTATTCGATACATAAGATAGTACATACACACACACACACACACACACACACAAAAGAAAAATCCATTCATTGCATAAACCCAATTATTACAATTTATGCATAGTATGTATAAATGAATGATGGTTTATTACTATACAAAAGAAAAGAAGTTTTATCAACGATAAAAGATGTTTTTTTTTCTTATCAATTCACTTATCTTTTAAGATCTTCAATAAATTCATGTCAGATAGAAAGAACCATCTATATTCTTTTATCAATATACGGTGTATTCATTTAATGCTAATTCTGAAATATCAATTCTTACTTCTTCTTTTTTGTATTAACAACGAATCAATGTTGAACAGTTAACACTTTTTTCATCTTAATTTTATCGAATAACTGGTAAAACAGTTGTTATTAGACGATTTTTTTTTTCATTATTGTCTAAAAAGTACTTCACTGAAGTGAGAAAGTCAATCTAACCGAAATAAGATCGATCTTCTTCTAAAATATCGTATGTTATAGAATAATGAAATAATTTATACTCACATAATAATGTTTAATAATAAACTTGTCAATTATTTATTATAATATACTGTTATGAAATAAATTTAACTTTAAACTACCTTCGTTTTTTGTTGCTTCTTTTTTGAAGTTTTAATTTTCTTTATTTATTATTATACATTCTTTACTATTGAAAAATTAAATTTATATATATATATAATTAAACTGAGCGTGAGTGTGACTATAGTAATAGAATAAACGTATGCATACACTAAAGTGCAATACAAAAACTTGTCGTGTTTTTCCTTCTTTTAGTTGGATAAAAACAATATAAATACATTCAAAATTGATATATATCTTTTACTTTCTGTCCTTCAATTGTGTAGCCTTCTTTTGTGCAACTAACAGTCTCAAATAAACAAATTTTTTATTCAAAAAGGATGCAAAGTACAATTTAAGAAAAGAAGTTGTTTGAAGTTATTTTTTAAAAAACTGAAAAAAAAAAAACTGAATGTTTATTTAAGACTCAATTCGTTAAAAAAATATCGCATTCAACGTATTGGTGGTGTATACAGTACAAGATTATTTGACTCGAACAATATTTTTTTTCTCTTTCTTTAGAATAATAATTCTTTTACTCTTCTTCCTTTTCCATTTTTGGTCAATTTAAAATGACATGAGATTAGTTTCATATGATCATTGTGTCTTCATTCAAGTTTTTGGTTAAAAAAAAGTACGCTTCTTCTTTCAAAGACGATAAAACAATATTTCGGTGATTTGAAATTTTTTCAAAACCAATGCGGCTATCATGTTAAGAATTTTAATAAAAAAGTTTTAATCAAATAATAAAAATAATAAAAATAAAAAATTAAACAATTAAAACTAAAACATTAAAATTATAATTCGATAT